AAGAAAAATTTCAATTAAAAAGTATAGTTTTTAAAATGGATTTTTACTACTCATGTACACTAAAATAATGCAGTGGAATTACAAAAGTGACATATTACTGTGGTTTTTTATTTTAAAGAGAATTTTAAAAATAATGACTAACAACAATGAAAACAAAGCAAAAATAGTAAAAATGATGCAGGTTTTCAAAACAAAATGATAGGAATTAAGTGTGATTATTATATTATACATTGCTTTCTTTGAGAATATTGCTCAGATTATCAGATGTAAGAATGACGAATTGATGAAACCATGAAAGAGAACAAAAATAATTTCAAAAAGTAGAAATGATAGAGAGCTTCACCAAACAAGATGGTAGGAATTCAGCAATGGTTGTTATATTGCGTATTTCTGTCTTCCCTACTTTTCCCCTCTGTTTAAGTGCTTGCTCTGCTTGGTGGTTCCTGTCTATTGTTATTTTGAAATTGTGGTTATTTTTATCTCTTTCTAGAATATCTTTGTTGGTATTCTTTGTAAGGTTGGCTTGATGCTCATGAAGTTCTTGAGTTGTTCTTTGTAGGGAAATATTTTATTTCTCCATTAAATTTGATGGAGAGTTTTGCATGACACATCGATTGGGGTTGGATGTTGTTTGGTTTTAGGACCTGACATACTCCACTCCAAGCTCCTATTGACTTGATGGTTTGTGTTGAGAAATCTGACATGTTTTAAATGGGCTTTCGTATGTAGGTGATCTGTTTCTTTTCTCTAGCAACTTTTAATACTTTGTTCTTTTGCTGGATTTCTGGGATCTTGAACATTATATATCTGGGTGTAGATTTAGTTTGATTATGGTAGTTGGAGTTGTGTATGCCTCACTCACCTGAATGTCAGATTCCTTTTCCATGCTTGGGAAATTTTCTGCTATTACTTTTGCAAATATTCTTTTTATGTCATTTGTGTTGCCCTCTGCTGTTTTGTTGACACATATTGGTTTTACATTGTTTTTCTTTACATCTTCTTGCAGATTTGAAACATTTCATAGTTCCTTATTATTTTTAAGAGATCTTCACTTTTGCAATCATTAGCTGCCGTGATTCATTCATGATAACAAGCTCTGCAGAAAAGAGGAATAGATGGTTGTTACTTCACTGTATTAAAAGCTGTCTATGACAAACCAACAGCCAACATCATACTAAATGGACAGCAACTGAAAGCTCTCATTTTAAAAACAGGAACAGGACAAGGATGCCTACTATCACCACTCCTATTCAATACAGTGTTGGAAACATTATCCAGACAAGAGAGAGAAATGAAAGGAATAAGGATTCAAATGGAGGAATTGGAATTACCATTATTCACAGATGACATGATACTCTACATGGGAGACCCCAAAAAGTCCACCAGAAGACACCTAGAATTAATGAACAGATTCAGCAGTGCAGCAGGATACAGAGTCATCACTCAAAAATCAGTAGTATTCCTGTACATACACAACACACAGACTGAGAGAGATAAAAGGGAAACTACACCTTTCATAATAGTAACCAAATAATGAAATACTTAGGAATCGATCTAATGAAAGACATAAAAGATCTGTAGAGTGAAAACTACAATACTCTGAAAAGAGAGACCAAAGAGGATTTCAGAAAATGGAAAGGTGTTCCTCGCTCATGGATAGGAAGAACCAACATTGTGAAAATGGCCATACTCCCCAAATCGCTGTACAGATTCAATGCAACCCCAATTAAAATACCATTAGTATACCTCAAAGATCTCGAGATAACATTCCTAAAATTCATCTGAACCAGGAGAGGCCTTTAGAAGCAAAAGCAATTTTGGGCAACAAAGGACAGGCAGGAGGCATCACAATCACTTGAAATTATATTATAAAGCTAATGTGATAAAATCAGCATGGTACTACCAAAAAAACAGACCTGAAGATCAATGGAACAGGTTAGAAGATACACACACAGCTACAAACACACTCAGCCACCTTTTTTTTTGACAAAGGGGCCAAACATGTTCACTGAAGAAAGATAGCCTCTTTAACAAATGGTGCTGGAAAAACTGGCTTTCCACATGCTGAAGACTAAAACCAGACCCATGTCTATCACCATGCACCAAATTAAAGTCAAAATGGATCAAAGATCTAAATGTTAAAACAAACATTAAATCTACTAAGTAGATAGAAATCTTGAAGACATAGGGGTAGGCAGAGAGTTCATGAACAAAGACCAAACTGCACAGGAAATTCTTCAAAGAATGAACAACTGGGATCTCACCTTATTGAAAAGTTTTTGCACATCAAAAGAAATTACCAACAGAGTAAAAAGAAAAGCCATGAATTCAGAAAAATTTTAGCCAAGTGTCCCTCAACCAAAAGACTAGGTCTCTTCTGGTTCCTGATGATTTTAGGAATGTTTTCTCTAGACCTGCGAGGTATACTAATGGTATTTTAATTGGGATTGCATTGAATTTGTACAACAATTTCGGGAGTATGGCCATTTTCACAATGTTGGTTCTTCCTATCCATGAGCAAGAAACATCTTTCCATTTTCCAAAATCCACTTCGATCTCTTTTTTCAGAGTACTGTAATTTTCACTGTATAGATCTTTTACTTCTTTTGTTAGATTGATTCCTAAATATTTCATTTTTTGAGATGCTATTTTGAAAGGTGTGGTTTCACATTTCTCTCTCAGTCTGCTTGTTTGTGTAAAGGAATATTACCAATTTTTGCGTGTTGTCTTTGTATTCAGCTCTGCTACTGAATTTAGTTATTAAATCTCTAAGCCATTTGGTGGAGTTTTTGGGGTCTTGTATGTAGAGTATCATGTCATCTGCAAGTAATGATAATTTCACTTCTTCCTTTCTTATCCTTATTCCTCTTATTTCTCTCTCTTGTCTAATTGCTCTGGTTAATATTTCCAGAACTGTATTGAATAGGAGTGGCAACAGTGGATATCCTTATCTTGTTCCAAATTTCTTACATGAAGAAACAAGTGGCAAATAAATACATGAAAAAATGTTCAACATCAGGGGTCATTTGAGAAATGCAAATTGAAACAACACTGAGATTCCATCTCCCCCAAGAAAGAATGGCTATCACCAAGAAACTGAACAAGAACAAATGCTGGAGTGGCTATGTGGAAAGAGAAGTTCTTCTCCAGTGCTGGTAGGAGTGTAGATTGGTGAAACCACTGTGGAAATGAGTGTAGATATTCCTCACAAAACTAAGAATAAAAATCCCAATAAACCCAGCTATGTCCCTTCTGGGTATTTTCCCAGGAGAATTAAAAAACATCGTACCACAGTAATATATATGCACCTATGTTTCTAGCAGCACAATTTGTTACAGTTGAATCTTGGAAACAGCTCAAATGCCCGTCAACTGAGGAATGGATAAAAAAGATGTGGTATTTTTATACAGCAGAGTATTATTACTCAGCTATAAAAAAGATAAACTCCAGGCTTTTATTGGTAAATGGATGCAACTTGAGACCATACTCATAAGTGAAATAAATCAGACCCACATGTGTAAACATCATCCTGTCTCCCTAGTGTAATTACCGGAAACAGTAAATAAAACTCAAAATATGCAGTAGATATTATGAAAGGGAAAGAAATTGCTCAAAGGTAGGAAAAACTTGGATGAAGGAAAGGAGAAAAAGAAACAAAGAAGGAAGGAATAATAATAATAATATATTATTATATTAATATTATGTTCATATAATTATTAATTGTAATTAATAATTATCATATTAATATATATATATATATATACATACACAGACAGCTGGAGTAATGGTACTGCTGATGTCTAAGGTTTATTGAAAGGAACAGTTAATGTTTAATTTTTTTCCATGTCAATTTTGCATGCTTATATCTGGTATTCTGAACAACTAATTTGAAGACCACAATATGCATTGTAACAACCATTGGTGAATTCCTACCATCTTGTCTAGTGAAAGTCTGTAGCATTTCTTATTATTTATTCTCTGTAATGTCTTGATAAATCTTGCGTTCTTACCTCTGGTAATCTGAGCAGAATCGTTAAAGATAGCAATAGGTAATGTAACAACCACTGTTAATTCCTATCATTTTGTTTTGAAACATGTTTACACATGTAGTTTTATTGTTTTTGCTTTGTCTTGTTCTTGTTTATGTTGTTGTTACTTTGTTATTAGTTTTTCTTTATTCTTCTTAAGATAAAACATAATATAAATAAATGTGTACCTAATATATACAAAAGGATATATGTGTGTCACATGTCAATTTAGGATGAACAACTAAAGGATGATGAAAAAGAAAATGGAAACATTTAACCACATTGTTAAGAAACACCACAATAGCACATTTGTAAACCCTATAGTAACACTATAAATTCAATTTATTTCCATTTTTACTCAAATGTAATGAGCATAGAGCACCACATGACAAACTTAGACTTTTAATAGCCATAGGAGAGAGAACTCCTTTAAAAATATTCTCCTGAAGAGTGAAAGCAAGTGTAAGAGGAGAAATACACAATCAGTTCTCAAAATATACTATAGGTATTATACTAAAAGCATTATACACATGAAGAGGAAAAACTCAATTAAATGTATTAAGGAATTGAGAAATTGTTATCTACACATATATCTTGTCATTTTAAGTTGTTAGAAAAATATAGAGAAACCAAAGAGAAATGCAAGATAAAAGTGAGAAACATAATTTTAAACAGAAAATAGTAGGATCAATTGCAGATATAATGGGAGTCACAGAATATCCAGAATAAAACTCAGATGGAAAAGGTGATACCTACAGACGTGAGTGATTTCAAGAAAAGCAAGGGTCAACTGTGCATTCAAACAAATTCCCTCCTGTAATTTGATATCTGCATAAATGAACAGCTGCCTCTGTCAATATATGAAAACATTCTCTATGTATTTTTACTTCCAAAATGCACATTGTGCTTGAATGAATATGAAAAATTCTTATCTTTTCTTAACAAAATAATGTAGCACTTAGGGATAAAGATTCAGCCCAGCAGCTCTGCATTGAAAACCAAGATGGAGAAGACCTCCATGGCCACCACGACCTTCCCCTTGGTGCTGTGGTACACGGGGAGGAAGGTGACCCACACGCTGCAGAACACCAGCATGCTGAACGTCAGGAACTTGGCTTCATTGAACGTGTTGGGCAGGTTCCTGGCCAGGAAAGCCACGGTGAAGCTCGCCAGGGCCAGGGAGCCCAGGTATCCCAGGACACAGTAGAAGGCAGTGAGGGAGCCCTTGTTGCACACGATGAGGATGTGGCCATGTTCAGAGTGAGCATCTGTGTCAATGTAGGGTGGATTTGTCCCCATCCAGACGCCACAGAGAGTGAGTTGGATGAGGGAGCAGATGGGGATGATGGAGTTAGGAGCCCCTGATACCAGCAACTGCCTCATCCTTCTGCCTGGAGCAGTGACCTTAAAGGCCAGCACCACAGTAATGGTTTTGGCCAAGACAGTGGAAACAGCCACAGTGAACACGACTGCAAATGAGGTCTGCTGCAGGATGCAGGTGGCTGTGCTGGGCCGGCCAATGAAGAGCAAGGAGCAGAGGAAGCAGCAGGTGAGGGAGATGAGCAGGGTGTAGCTGAGGGCCCGGTTGTTGGCCTTGACGATGGGAGTGTCTCGGTGCTTCACAAAGAGCCCAAGAACAGCAGCTGTGAGGACAGTGAGACTCAGGGTGGTGCCAGCCAGAGTCTTTCCCAAAGGATCCATAAGCCAGAAAAATCACAGCTTTTTGCAGGCAGTTGTTTTTCTCAGTGTTGGCATACTGATGATCTGGACACTTCACACACTGCTCCATATCTAGCAAGAATTAAAAGTGTCACTAGTCTACTTTTATTATTTCCTTTTCATAGACCCATGCCCAGAAACTCGTTGGACTTTGAGATACATGGCCATTTTTAATTTTTTAGGTTTTTCTTTTCTTTTCTTCTTTTCCTTTCTTTTCCAGTGCTTGGGATTGAACTTAGAGACAGTTCACTGAGATATATTCCCTACTTTTTAAAATTTCATTATTTGGTGAAATGAAATTCTGAATCATTTTAGTGCCAAGGCTCCAATCTGACTTAAAATCCTCTTGCCTCATCCTCCCAGAGCACTGGATTACAGGCGTGCATCACCATACCTAATTTTTCCATTTCTTTGTAGAAACAAAATAAAACAATAGTGTGCAAAGAATAACTCCTTTTTTAATTTAAAGAGACTAGTAAGAGAAAGAACAATAGCAACATACCAACATCACAGTAAAAAACAAAACAAAGCAAGAACATTAAAAACTATACGGGGTTTCAAAATACAATGGTAGGAATTATCAGTGGCTGTTACATTACCTATTGTTATCTTCAACTAAGTTGCTCACATTAGGAGATGTAAGAATGGAAGGTTTTTCAAACCAACAAAGAGAATAAAAATAATTATTGAATAAAACATTAGAGACAATAGAGAGTTTCACTAGGCAAGATGGTAGGAATTCACCAACAGTTGTTCTATTGCATATTGTTGTCTTCAAATCCATTGCTCAGATTACCAGATACAAACATGAAAAATTGGTCAAAATATTAAAAAAATGTATGCATTAACTGAGCAGTGCTGTTATTTATTCTCTTTCCATATCTGGTATATCCATAAAAAAATCTCTCTATTTTTATAAAGTAATAAGTGATCTATATGCATATATCAAATCTTTACAAATGATTTCTCAGACATTCATTCAATGAGCAATCCCATATTAGCAAACCAAAATAATTTGCTAAGTCCCAAGGAAATACACAGGAAGACAAGTATCGAATGTTGGGTGGTATCATTATTGAGCCTCTCTGTTACGGTTTGTGTTTGTCTGTCCCCCCAAAGCCTCATGCAGTCATGGCTCTTCGACTCTATGTTTGATCCACGATGCAGTGCCAGGATTATGGGTGTGAGTGCTACACCTGCCCTGAGGTGCATACTTTACCTATGTAAGGGAGGGAAGGAGGCTGCTTGGGGCCACGATTCCTCCCTTTTGCAGTTTTCTACCTCTATTAACTGTTGCCCTTGGGCATGTGCCACTCCACTTGGAACCAGCCAATTATGGAATGAAATCTCCACAAAACTGTTAGCTAAATAAACCTTTTCTTTCTTAATTTGACTGCCAGGTATTTGTCCCAGCAACAAGAGAAAAGTAACCAAGATAGAATTTGGTACCGAGAGTGGGGCCATTGCTGTGACTATACCTGACTATGTGGTTCAAGAGCCTTTGGATATGGCTTGTGGGAAGTGTTTGAAAAGATTTGGAAATGTCACCTGAAAGAGAAGCACTAGAACACCTCTGGCTGTTCTGTCAGGGAGATTCTGGTCAGAGTTCAGAGACTAGAAGGTGGATAGAAATCCTGCTGGTAAAGACCGGGTTTGGGAGGTTTCCCCTGGAAAGAAGGACTGCACTGGTTGTTGGACTCCAGATGGTGTGTGTTATGGCTTGGCAGAAAGTTTGTCTGCATTTTGCTTGTGTCCAGAGACTTTGCCCAAGACTGAGATTAAGGCGGTGGTGGACTAATTAATCTGGCAGAAGAAATTTCAAGGCAGTCGAGTGTAGTGGCAGTGGCATGGTTATGGCTGGGGGCTTTTAGCCAGATTTGTGTTAAGAATCAAGAGCAAAAACCCCAGCAGTATGATTGAAAATGTTGTGAGCTTGGCCAGAAAGGAAGCTCCGGTAAAGGTGTGGATTATAAAGGTGGAGCTTAGGCGATCTTGATTGCTGAGGAGGAACAAGAAAAGGAAAAAGATGGCCTGAGGGCATCACGAAAAACAAGTCTCCACCTTTGAGGCATCAAAACTGCAAAGCTGAAAGGCCTTGCCTTGAGGAGAAAGCCTCAAAGCACCATGTTCCAGGATGGCGGCAGCATTGAGAATTTGCTCCTCAGAATTGGATTCAGAGTGCCCAGGATTCCAGGCACTTGGCCCCTATGGCCAAGAGAGAGGAAAGCTTGGGTACAGCTCTAGGTGACGGCAGACCTTGGCATCATCCATGTAGACCTGGTTTTAGGTGCATAGAGAATGCAAGAGTTCTGAGGTTAAAAAGGTTTCCACCTTGATTTCAGAAGGCCTGGGAGGCCAGGCAGTATGCCCTTGAGAGGGCAGTGTGTGAAGCTGTGAGTGTGAAGCAAAAGGTGCAGTGAAGGCTTCAGATGTTTGGAAAAGCCAGGAACATGGATTGTCTGAGGAAGGCTGCAAGGAGGGAGCAAAGTGGGCCCAGGGGATAAGCTGTGTTTGCTGTAAGCATTGGAATTGCCATAAGGGTGGACTCCTACAAGCCCTTTGGAGCTCACAATGTGCTGCAGATTACTTCAGATGCTGGACATGGAACTACAGGATATAGTGTTAGCCCTCCTGGATGTTGGACTTGCTTTGGTCCCAATGCTCTGTATCCCCATTCGTACCTTTTGAAATGGTAACATTTATTTTGGGCCATTGACTGTTGGAACTGTTTAACTTTGCTTTCATTTGTACAGGGGCCCACAGCTAAGAGTTTACCTTAAATCTTGGAGAAGACTTGGGACTTGGACATTTCAGCAATGCTGAAACTTTTAGGGCTTTGGCAACTCTTAGAGCTGGACTAAAATGTCTTTTGCATAGAGATGTACATGAGACTTTAGGGTCCAGGGGTGGAATGGTATGGTTCCTGTCTGAATGTCCCCCCAAAACCTCATGCAGTCATGGGGCAGGCTTTTAGACTTTATGATTGATCCATGATCCAATGTTAGGATTATGAGTTTGAGTGCTACACATGCCCTTGGTTGGATAGTTTACATATATAAGGGAGTGAAAGAGGCTGCCTGCTACCACCATTCTTTCCCTTTGCTCTGGATGCTTTTGCGGTTTTCCACTGCCATGAATGGTTGCCCTCTGCCACATGCCATTCCGCCTTGGAGCCAGCCGAGAATGGACTGGAATCTCCACAACCTTGAGCTAAATAAGCCTTTCCTTCCTTAATTTTAGGTGTCAAGTACTTTGTCCCAGCAATGAGAGAAAAGTGACCAAGACACTCTCCATCTACAAAAGTGCTTTATGGAACTGCTTCTTTAATTTTTATTATCCAAGGGATATTTTAAGAGTTTAATGCTGGTATCTTTCAAAACCATTACACGATATTTCACTACACATTGAATGATTGTATTCTTTTTATTTTAAAGAGAAAAAACAATAAAAAATAATGATAATAAAGAAAAAGAAAAAACCCCACAGAAACAATAAAAACAGTACAGAATTTCCAAACAACATGAATGGAACAATGGTTGTTATGTTTAATGATGTTAAACTGTTGCAGAAATAATTTTTCAAAATTTCATCTATCAGTGGCTTACGACTGAGGTGTGGAAACAAATAGGTTTTTTTGGTAATAATCTTGTATTCCACCACTAGTAAATCCAACATCATTTTATTCATTAAAGAGGATTTTTATACTTTCAAACCAATATCACTGGAAACCTTAACCTTCATATCTTGCTTTCCAGTACATGTTTTTTGTGTGTTTTCTTAATGAAAGGGAAAAACTATACAGGAGAAATTGTTCTCTTTAAAACTTTGTTCCTTTTGAATGTGCCTAGCTCTGTAACTGTTTCATGGCTCTGTAGTTACTTTCTTGCCCACTGTAACCATGAGAATGCAACCAAACATGGAGGATGCCTGAGTGTAAGTGATGATCATTAATCTAGCCTTGCAAGTGATGAGCTCACCCTGCTAGCTAGTTAGAAGAACTGCCAGACTGTTCTGTCTCGCCTTTGTACTTGGTACTTCTGCATCATATAAAAGTCCTAGAATGTCAGAGATCAGAGTTTGATATTTGGGGAACATTCCAATCAGTGTCCATTGACATAAAATAAATTTCCCTCAAATCTTGGGTGTGATTTTATTGTTTCTGCTTGCCATAGCATTAGCTTCATTGCTTTGATCATGATGTGGCATTTAATTCCTGGCAGAATTGTGATACCGAAAGTTCTTATCTCATTCTTCTTTCAAAAATGAACCATAAATTGTGAAGTGCGAAGCTAGAGAATACCATAAATACCATTTTTTGGCATTTAGAAACTTTTCTCCTACCTCTAATATGGTAAGAAATTCCTTTTTGTTTTTTATTTGTAAATCACAGTGGTGTACAATTTTATTGTATTGTCTTCATTTATTTGTTTCATTTTTCCTTTCCCAGGAACTAGTGCATTTAATTATATTTTATAAACTGAGTTTGCTCATAGTATACTGTCCCTGAAATATATTTACAGCTGTGAGTAGCACAAATTTTTCTTTCTTTCTTTCTTTCTTTCTTTCTTTCTCTCTTTCTTTCTTTCTTTCTTTCTTTCTTTCTAGTGGTCAGTCACCTATCATGGGAGTTACATTCCAGAGACCCCCATGATAGGTGAAACTCTGCAAAGTATCAGTGCTATATTTATTGTATTATTTATGTATATTTTAAGGCTTTATAAACCTATGCTACACTCCTATAACCTTTCCCACTCTCTTATTAACCTTTCCCACAATCTTATAAACACTTCATATGCTCTTAAACACTTTCTACACTCTTAAATGTACATAATTTTAACAACATGTAAAATTCTATCTGGGCACTCACTGGGAAGTGGACAAGGAGAGATGCCAAACATATAGGCACAGTGTGGGAGAGCAAACAGACCCATGCTGTGGTCACTGGACCGATCATTTCACAGGAG